CTGCATCAGCCTTCTGAGTGCTGGGATTATAGGTGTGATGGTTCCATGAACATTTATATACAAGTTTTGTGTGAACATGTTCTGATTTCTCAAGTATTTAAATAGCAATGGAATTGCTGGATCCTATACTGTTTGTTAGTCTTTCGAAGAACCACCGTTTTCCAAAATAGCTACATTTAATTTACATTTTCACTGGCAAAGTTTGAGGGTTGCAGTTGCTCCATATCTTTGCCAATACTTATTTGTTGTTTTGATTCCAGCCTTCTGTGGAGATAAAGTAGTATCTCAGCATGATTTTTATTTGCATTTCCCAGTGATTAATAATATGAATCTTTAATGTGTTTAGCAGCCATTTGTGAATCTTCTTTGGATATACAGATCTTTGGCCAGTTTCTTAACTGACTTTTTTTTATTCAGTTGTAAGAGTTTTTCATGTATTCTTTTTTTTTTATTTTATTTTATTTTTGTCTTTTTGAAACAGGGTTTCACCATGTAGTTCAGGCTGGCCTCGAACTCACAGCGATCCTCCTGCGTCAGCCTCCTGAGTGCTGGGATTACACACGTGGGCCACTACGCCCGGCTCTCTTTTTTTTTTTTTAGACAGGGTCTCACTATGTAGTCCAGGCTTGCCTAGAACTTGTTATGTAACCCAAGCTAGCCTGGAACTCAGGATCTTCCTGCCTCAGCCTCTTGAGTGCTGGAATTACAGCATGTGCCACCTTGTACTGAATCATTTCATATTCTAGACACAAATCTGTTTTCCAATTTAATTTGCAAAGCTTCTATCTTGTGAGTCATTTCTCACTCTTTTGATGACATGGAAGCACAAAAGTTTTTAATTTTGATTGTGTAATTAGTTGATTTTTTACTTTGATTTCTTCTTACTGTTTGATTTCTTCTTTACTTCTGGGGTTTGGTTTGGTTTGGTTTGGTTTGGTTTGAACTACAATGAAAATACAAACAAAATTTGGCCACAGAAATAATCTTTGCTGCAATCATCACACCTATGGCGGTCTTTACACATGACAATAGCATGTTCCATACACAAGTCTCACACTGACAACACATGTGCTTAGCTTTCCTTTCCTGTTTGGCGGGCTGTACTTACCCTCTCTCCTGTTTTCCCCTTTGTCAGGAGCCTCCTAGTATATAATGTCCACTTAGCAGGAAAATGAAACATCAATCAAATGAAACACCAAGTATACACTGTTTAGAATAAACATTTTCTACATCAACTGTTTGTTTGCTTACTAAATCTAAAAAGTAACAGCAGAAATAAATTTCTGTGTGAACTACAATGAAAATATAAATAAAACTCTACCACAAAAATAATCTTTGCTTCAGTTATCACACCTAAGGCAGTTTTCACACGTGAGAATGGCATGTTCCATACACAAGTCTTGCTTACACTGATAGCACATGTGTGTTGTTTTCCTGTCTTCTTTGATGGGACACACTTGACATCTTCCTGGTCTTCCTGTTTTCTTAGGAGGTCTTGTAATGTTTCATCTGTCTGTTCATCAGTCTGCTCCAGAATTATTTTGAGGAATTCTTTGGCAGACACACACTGTTTTTCCTCTGTTGTAATTATTTATCAATCCCAATCCCAATTCTCTAAAAAAAATTTTTTCCATGATATTTTGTGCTTCTTCATTGTTTTTTTGTTGTTGTTATTGTTAGCCTTTGTTTTTTTGTTTTTTTTGTTGTTGTTGTTTTGTTTTGTTTTGTTTTACCTGAGTCAGTGTCTTCCTGTGTAGGTTACTATGCCTTAAACTCACTGTGCAGCCCAGGCTGGCCTGAACTCATGGCAGTCTTGCTGCCTCAGCCTCCCAAGTGCCACAACACCTGGCCTCACTATGAATCTTATCATCCTGATACAATGTTGACAGTTATCATTACTACTTTGTTTTTCTTCCCCATGTAGGAGGCCGATGTTATATGTTTCTGAAATACAAATATTGCACTGTACATTTTTTTCTATTGTGAACTTGCAACATTTTTTCAGGAATCTTTCTTGCAAATAGTTCCTGTGCTGATCAACTAGTGTTCTTTTTAAAAAATGTAGGGCTGGGTGTAGTGGCACATGCCTGTAATCCCAGCACTCGGGAGGCTGAGGCAGGAGGATCGTTGCAAGTTCGAGACCAGCCTGGGCTACAAAGTGAGCTCAAGGCCAGCCTGAACTGCACAGCGAGACCCTGTCTCAAAAAGACAAAAAAAAAAAAAAAAAAAGTAGCAGCAATGGGTAAATAGTGAACCAATTGTCAAATGTCACAATTGGGTTACTTTTTGAAATAGGTGCAACAAATCTGTTCAGAAGTCATATGGTTTATGACTGCATGAGGAAAGACCCATTGGCTGAGTTCCAGAATACATTTCTAAATTCAAGGTGTAAAATGCCTTCACATCTACCAGGGCATATATTTGTACACTATATTTGGAAGGTTTACTTGGCATATATTGCCAAAGGCTTTAACAACTATGAAATGATGAAAGTTGTTTGTCAGTTGTCATGTATTTGGATGGTGTATAAATTGCTTGACAGTTCAACACAAAGCTTTTAACAAATGAGCAAATAGCAGCCAAATTGTTTTTTTTTTTTTTTTTTTTCTTGGCCAGTCTTTCTGTTGTCAAAACGTAGGCAATTTTGAAAGACACCAAGTCTCTTGAGTGTCATTGTCGCTCTAAAAATCAATGCCACATCTGTTAGTTCTCCATAAATCCTTTAGATTCTGATGATTTGAATGATAAAGTCCTGCTAGGAAGGCTTTTAGTTCAGGTAGTGACGTGTCATGATAAATATATTTTTAAGGATTACTACTGATACATATAGAATGTTCTCTCATATTTCATTATTAGTATGTTTCAGAACATCTTGTAGCATATCATCCATTACAATTTCCAGCACTGAATCACAGTGTTGGCGTTCTGTCCAGCAGGTTTTACCCCTGGCAAAAACCTAAGCACCTTTTCTGACCTAGTTCTAACATTGATTGTTCAAGTATATTATGACCATTTTGTAGCATTTTGACTGATCAAATATTTATTTCCATTACTGTTTTCTTCCTCATCTGAATCAAGGTCTTCATTCTGTACTTCTCTATCTGTCATATCTCTGCCATATCTGTTGTATACTGCTAATTTCTTTGGCTTACATGAGCCAACTCATCATAGGTAGACGAGGCACCTGCTGATTCACTTTCAACCTCCTCCCAAAGTTGTAAAAGTGCATTTTCATGCAACATTGTATTGAATTTGTCTAATTCTGCAAGAAAAATGAAAACATTTAATAAAAAATTATAAATATACAAAAATGTAACAGCACATAATGTGGGTAAAACTCACCCATTTACACTTGACACATGTTTATAGACCTTGCCATTCATCATATCAAGTGGGTTTATCAATACAGAGGTTGCTTCCTGTATTCCCCCAGCACAGCTATGGAGACGCACAGCCAGCTGCCTTATGCCAAAGTATATATTTTCATTAAAAAAATATGGTATGGCATCTGTGATCCAGTATGAGAAACCAAGGTTAACATCTCACTATCGTGATTAATTTTCTTCATATAAAGACTTGGGGGACACACTCAGCAATGTCCAAACCATAGCACCATATGGTTTATCAGTTTCTGCAGAGAAGCCACAG